AGAGTAGCCTCGCCTCTGCATAGCGTTCAAGTAGACTGGGAATGGTTAATTTTATACCTAATCTTTACCATTACCAAATTTTTGTACTTTTTTGCAAATTAGGAATCACAAGATGGCACTTGTGAAACAGGAATTGATATAGGAATTTATCGCCCAGCTGCTCTCTGAGATTTTAGTGTTTATTTCAGCATCATGCCAAATCTTTAACTGACAAGCTTATAAAAAGGCACACTTGAATGTGACCTAGAAAAGAAAAGGTGTGCTACTAAACTGACACTGCTCTGACCTGCCTTTTTGCTAAAACTGTTATTTTGCCTCCTGAAGAGGCAACTCCATCTCTACACAGGAAATGTAACTTAGTGTTCTGTCTATTGCCATTCATTAAGCAGTAACGTAAACCCAGTAAAGATGCTTTAGTTAAATCCTCAATCTGGAATGGGCTAGGGTTTCAAGAGGGGGGCTTTAAATTTTGCATCTATCTGTTTCCCTCTCCTTCAGTGCCCCATATCTTGTCAGCGATGCTTTAACTGCCCTGCATTCATAGTTAAGATTTTTTTTCTTTAAAAGTCACCTTATAATGCGTTTATGTCTTCAGCAATTTTCCCCAATAAATCTTTTCTTTTTTTGTAGTATTTGTGAACCAGCTATATTTCTTAATCTTCATAAATGCCACGACTTAATTACTTTTACTCCTTTAATCAGCTGGTAAACTGTCTTTATTTTGAAGTTAAAGTGCTCCCTCTGCTGCTCATTTTTTGAGATGCAGTTTTTACACGTTAACAAAGCTAAAAATATAACGACTCTTTTTTTTTTTAAATCGACCTAAAAATTCAATCCATGTATCCTCCTTCTAAACAGAAAAATATATGGCTAAAATGTATAAATTAAGATAACAAATCAAAATATATCTTTGCAAGTGATTATTCCGCCATCACTTACAAGGACAGTTGTACTCCTAGCATCCTTAAAATTAGTTGCACACGATTTATAGCTTTAAAAATAAAGCACATAATTACCTGCCTCCACTGCTTACAGCCTCTCCTCCTCTCTGATACGTTACTAAAATAGTTAAAGACAAAAAAAGGAAATAATTTAAAAATCATAGAAGACTCCTTAAATAGCAGTATTAAATTTGCCTTTGTTTCATTTTAGCTAAGACAATAAACGTGCATTGTTTATACATTTATTCTGAGTCTCATTCTGCAAGCTAGTCCTCCAACTGCAAGTTTATACATAATACTTATGTTTCTTGATAACTGCTAGTCTTAGCTCCAACAAAGTTTTTGTATTTCAGTTCTGAAAAACGCACACACACACACACACATATTGCTTAAGAAAACAGGAAGCCATACATCAGGTTGAACTTATCCTTAACATAACTCTGCTGACTTCAGTGGAGTTACTCTGTGGAACAATTTAGGTCATATATTTATTTCATGAATGGCTAGATGTTAAAGCTTTGCCCTACCTTATTATTTTGGTAAGATTAAAGAGGTATCATGATTCTGTAACAGACCTTCCAACGTAAACAATAGCTCATTGCAGCTGAACCTACTGTAAAAACACATGCTCTTTCTGACTGTTACTGCACTATACTCATGGAAGAAGCACACTCGAAAAGTCCACAGAAGCTTTGCATTTCATAACAATTGGATTTATTACTGATACTTTCTTTATCTAAAAATTTAAATATATAAATCTTGGTAAAAAATGTCTGAGAGAAAGAAAATTTCCTAAATTAGAAGGAATAGTTTTGCTAGCATTTGAGAAGCATTACACATTAACAAAGTGGATGTCCATGTGCGTTTATTTGTTGGCATAGATTGTATATCCTTCACAGGAAACATCACAGTTGAAAAGTTAGCTTTCAGGATGCAAACATCCAAGAAGTAACAGTGCTGTAAGTTCTGTAGATTTACATTGGGTTTGGCAAAGGGTTAAAGTGATTGCCTCCCTGCAAATGCTGATGGATTCTACATTTTCCAACTAGGAATGAATTGAAAAAAAGCAGCCAAATTCTGATCTTTAGAGGAACTCCAAACTGGGAGTCTGCAAGAGAGAGATAAATGCTGGCAGAGATTACAATAACAGGATTAAAACGTAGGATGCATTGCTACAGGTAAGTCTCTTACTATAGGTAATGCTAAAGAAGAGGGTTTGATTCCATTTAAAGTGAATGGAACTAATGACTGGGATCCTGGAGTGAAAAAGGATTTTTTTTTTTTTCCTTTAAATGTTTTACATACTTTGTGGTTTTTTCCAATTTCTTCTTTAAAAATCTCAGTGCTATTTATTTTGCAGCTCTGACATATCTTATGATATTTTGTTTTAATGTTAAGAATCCAACTGAGAAAATACGTTAGCTAACCTACCAATCTCTGCAGAATTTCAGCAGTGTGCTACAATTGTGATTGCGATAGAAGCCTTCTGTTAAGCCAATTAAAGTTACAGCAAAATAATAATAGTGTGAATTAGTCTCCACAGTGGATCTCAAAGGACTTCAGGAACTGAAGGGCCACTCTGACTCATGCCAAACAGTAAGCAACTCCACTGAACAAAATAGGATGACTTTTGAAACGAGATACTATTCAATGTGATTAAAAGCACGTGGATAAGAATCTAACCCATTACGATTAGGTCTATGTGGATGAACGCAGACAGACATGAATTTGCTTCATCTGCAGTCCAACTTGGATGGATGTAACTCAGCTGCTGCCCAGGGGTCAAATTAGTAGTGCTGATTTTGAGCTACTACATCCTGCTAACGTGAGCCTGCAGCGGAGGGGGCTGGTGGTTTTTACCTTGCCTGGATACACGTCCTGCAAGTCTCTTGGACCTCTTGTGGACATAAGGGATTTAGAACAAAGGAGGAAGAAATAACCTGTCTGTTCACTCAGGCTGTAGGTAAAAATAATGCATGCAGTATTTTGGTGGGTACTGAATGTGTTGAATTGGATCCACTGAGCTGACAGACTGTGGGACCAACTGAAGGTCAGCTCTACAGAATGGAAAGGCTCTCACGGACTTTGGTGGGCTATTGCTAAGGTTATGTCATATTTTGTATATTTCCAAGCATAAAGAAATAGAAGATGATTTTAAACCTACCCTGAATTTGAAATATACCTCTGTTTATGTAGAACAGGATGATTATTTTAACAGTTCGTAGCACAAATACAGTTTAAGGCAGCAAGCAAAGAAACCTAACTGCTATAACACTTTGATTTTCTCTATCTTCCAAAGCAGAAAACTCCTAGGACACTGGTCTAATGCAGATTCAGAGGAAAGAAAAGCAGCAAACGTTTCGCCAAATATAATCCCACTGAATCCTTTTCAAGTCACCATCTGGGCTCTGCTAAGTCATTCCTCCTCCATCAAAAGCACCTTTCGCATCGCTACTCCATCGCAGTGCAAGAAGAAAGCCCAGGCTGTACAAACTGACAGGATCATGCTACAAAATGGTATGCTTGCACCGAATGGTATACTACAAAATGGTACACACAAATGGGACAAAGTGTCAGCTACAAAGCAAATATACACTACTTAGAGAACAAAGTAATACCTGTCGTTAATGAAATTGTTTTTAAAAAAAACCTTCAGAACAGCTGGGCTGGTTATGTCAGAAAAAGAGAAACAGTACCACAAACACATGCCAAAGTAACAAAGAAGGGGGGAAAAGTGCAAATATATACCTGTTGGTGTGAAGGTAAAAGACGGGACTGAAAAATCAAAACAAAATACAAACTGGTTATTAAGCTGAAGAGAGAAAGGGAAACATACCACATTAGTATATATCTAGCAGACAGCTGAACATAAAACAAATGTATATAACTAATCCAGTAGTTCAGTCACATTGATAAAGAAATAAAATTAATTTTGTGATTCAGAAAGAAGCTTATCTCTGCAGGTTCTGTTCTGAAAATAAAACTTGATATTCTGTTGTGCTCCTGAGAGGACTGGACTGTGGTTTAGCCTTTCAAATAACCCTCAGTTTGGTATTTTAAGGTTTTCTGAAAACCCTAGCACAAACAAAACCCCCACACTGTTAATCACTTTAGAATGCAGAATGACAAATTCCATAACAAAGCCTTATCAAGGTCCTATTGAATCTTATCTGCAGTTCACTAAGTAAATGCTCATTACGCTGAACTAATATGCACACTTAAGTATTCAGTAAGGAAATAATAATCATATAAAGGAACAAAGAGAACTGCTGTTTTACTGTCTCTGAATCAAGAACAGCACCAACTCTCACTGTAATAAAGGCACTAAAATCTACTGCAGCAATTAATTTTTGTTTTCATAGATGCTCCTGTTTAAACAGAGTTATTATCTTTCTTTCTTAAATAATCACAAAAGAAGGTAAAAGATCTCCCCAGACGTAACACCTTTCTACCTTTCAACTCTTGGCTTTAAGAGGGAAAGGTTAACAACAGAACAATGTCATTGCTTGACAATCTTCACTCTCACAGCTACTATAAATCCTCTTTGGATCAATAAGGTCTCTAATCCAAATACAGAGCACCAGCATCTGTTCTTCATATTAGCACATGCTCCCCCTCCTGTTGACAAGACAGTACAGTTTTTCTATCACTGATGGGCAGAAAAAGGCTAACATTGCCCTTTTCAATCTAATGACAGCAAAGAGAAATATAAGAGAAACAATAAAATATTCACTAAAAGTAGCCTTGAGACAGAATTTGATCAGCAAACCTGGCACAGAAAGAAAAGGTTCTGCTAAGAGAACAACTGCTTAATCTTATTTTTACAACTGCGATGTTTGGGGGGAGTCCAGAATCTCTTGTTGTAATTCAGGATATGCTGTAGTTTTTCCCCCTGTTTTACCTAGTCAAATTATATCCAGGGATATGACACTAACCAAAAAAAGAAAAACCTCTGAGCATTTGCCCATTTCAGGCTTCATTTGTAGCACAGCTCTTTATCTTGGGAATTCAATTGTATTTTCTTTGAGCTAGGCCTTTTCACACAGTCAAGTTTAATTTAGCTACATTCAAAAATATAGAAGCATAGTAACGAGCTTTCATTAAACTAGAAGGTGCATTTAAACCAGAGCTATTCAAAAGAGAATCAAGTGTCTCAAAATTAATTTGCAATCACAAGGACACGAAAAAAAACCTTCAACTACTGTCTCATTACTCTCCTGTGAGCTAAGTACTAAACCTAGTTTAGTTTCTTAAGGAACTGAGGAACAGATGAACAGAGGTTCAAGCAAATGAAATCTTTATCGCTGCCACATGAAAGAACAACTTAAATCTCAGAGCTTCTATTAATAAACTCTTCTGAGTGTGTAAGAGTGCTAGTACAATATGTATGTGTGGGAGTAGTGAAGTATTTTAACAGATGTCAGGCCTGAAGCTAAATATAAAAATAAATAAATGTAAGATTGAAGAAAGTTTGGGCTTGCAGTGCTGACTTGATGTGCTGCAGAATGGCAAACTACTTTGCAATTTATATTTCAATAAAGATGGCTTTTTTCCTTCAAGAATACTTTATAATGGAGATGCAGACTCTACGTTTCTGTGTATTTTCATTAAAATCCCTACCAAATTACACAAAAGATATTTTTACAGATATTGAAAAACACAGCTGTTTTGAACAAAAGCTGATGTCATTGAAGTAACCATTTTTAAGGACAAATTGTATGCCTTTTGCTTAATCATAGGTACTGCTGAAAGCACAGTGATGTTAGTTTGATAGAACTGTAGAAAGGCAGTATGGCAGCATGCTATTAGTAAAACAAAACAGAGCAGGCCAATGCAGCAGTATGTCAGGGTTTGTCTCATCTAAGAAATCATAGCAGAACAAAATCAAAGGTGAAATTCATCCCCGATTTCTGTGGTTACAATTCTGCGACAACCACTGTGCCTGAATTCCAACGCAAGCACCCATACTTTAACAGCATGGAGGACACCGAAACTCTGCAACACTCCAGAACTATTTCCATGTTTCCACTCACTCAGTTGCTATTTTTAGTGCTGCTTCTTTTTCATAGCAACACACTGCTACTGTTTAAAACATTTGTGTTATACTTGCCTATCTGTCTTGCCCATCACACATTCATTCTTGAAGTGACTAAGGAACATGTTCTCATGACACCTTTCACACGTTGAGATATGTGCACCTTTTAAGCCTAGGTCTATCTTTTGATTGCTAAATATCAAACATTCTCCTTCAATTCCTTCAAAAGTAGGATCTCCTATTTTCTAATTCATTCCAAAATTTATGGTTCTCACTCTACGAGTGAGGTACTGCTTTGAGATGTAATGAACTGTAGCTCACTGAATTCAGCTTTAACTTCGGGGCTTAATCAAGAGGTTATTGAATCAGGTGAAACCAAGTTTTTATTCCAGAAGATCTTCCAGGTAGAGATTCTAGTTCTGTTTGTCACAGAGTATACTCTAAAGCATTGCTTGCTCACCGACAAGCTGGTAAAAAGATATCAATAACACAAAAACGAAGAGTGTTTTAAGTTAGTCTCACTGCTGCCATTCTAACCAAATGCAGATGCAGGATGTGACAGCCCCAGAATTGAGTTCCAACGAAGAGTCTCACAGCAGCGTTTATGAAAGAGTTTTGGAAAGTACTATTGACTGTCGTGCTTTTGCAAACAGCCAGTTCACCACATTCCCCCAGAACACAAGGAAATTCAAGTACACGCACCAAAAGCGTTACTGTAATGTACACCACTGTTAGTATTCTTAGCAGCAAGCAAAGGACTGAACAGGAGGGACAATGAAATATCATCCACTTGGCTCCTTTTCAGATGGTAGTGTCAGGTAGCAAGGGCATCTTGGAAGCTCCCAGCCTTAAATCCATCTTTACATTTCTCATTTGAAGGAATATCTTTATGAAAAGCTAGTCTAGGTATTTAGATAAAGGCTTATGCTTTAAAGCCAGGTTTAACACATTATATAAATATTGCTGCTTTCTGCATTGGCTCCTCATCCACACTTCCTAAAAATATTGAAGTAATTTGATAATTCCTGCATCGAGTCTTAGAAGGACAAGAGACTAATGACAAAGCAAATGGCCAGTAAGGAGGCATTCAGGAGTCAGTGGACCAAAATGTGTAATACGGCACCTTTTCTGATACCAGCGTAAGTACTAGTGAGTCCATTTCGCTTCTTCCTGTGGCGATATAACCAGATGCTGAAGACCATAAGGATAATCCAACAGGCTGCACCAATTCCAGCAATAAAGGCAGGCTGCTTTACTACATCAGAAATCTGCTGGGCTAAACTGACTTGATCTTCTGAAGACACAGGGTTTCCATGAGAATCTGAAAAGACAACACACAAAATAGCCAATTAATTTGAATGAGCAACTGTAAAAGGCAGCATGATAAGAGCCGCCATAATCCTAGTTCACTTTTTCAAGGTAAAATCCTTAAGACTGGTCTTCAAAATCTCTTTTTACAGGTTTAGATACAAATGGTTCGTTTTTCATACAAGACAGGTACCTCCAACCTCACTGACTTTTGTTTGTTTACGAAAACTGCTAAAATCAGGCCACTAGACATACAAATAGAAAGTTAGGCTCATTAATTTCAAACTTGGGGACTGCTTTTTTTTAAAACTTTTATTTTAGCGAAGCAACACCAGCTTCAGAAAATTATTCAGAAAGTCAGCAAAGAACACAGCAAGTAAAAGAAAACTCAAGTATGAAACATGCGTAATCTGTTCTTTAAGCTGGGCAAATGGGTAGAAGTCAGCTACCCAAACATTCATTCTCACAACTGAAAATCACGGAAGAATAAAAAATTCAAAGTACATTCACATTCACGAGGTTGATTTTGAGAGATACATTTTAAGTTAGCAGTTCCTGACAGATGACTTAAATCTTGTACTACATAGTCCAACACGCTCTTTGCAGTCTCTCACTTTGACCTCAAGTAAAAAAAGACTGAATATTTAAAAGTACATAAAGAAGTAAAAGTACAAAATAACCAATCCTGCCCTCTTGGTGTGTACGAAAAAGTTAAAGGATAACTAAAAAAATGAGTTACAAATTGGTAAAAATAGTCAAGTAGTCCCATTTTTACTGAACAAGAACACCTTTTCAAAATGTTTATCCTTAAACATCCCACATCAAAGTAAATAACATATATTTTTTCCACACACTTTCAATTTTTTGTTTAATATAGAAAACACCTGTAAGAATTAGTCTTTTCTGCTCTTTCTGTACTGAATCTTCTAGGAACAGGAGTAAGAATATTCAGTCAGTGACCAATGCCTTCTAATTGAAATAAAGCAACTCAAAGACAAAATATTGCCTTCTTGACTTTTTACCACCACAGTGAGTGCTTACTTGAAATTTCATTACTGCACAGGGCGAGGGCAAGAATTCAAAACCTTTACTCAGAGCAGATATTACTTTACACATTCCACAATTTAGTCTTTGAAATACCCATTTTCACTCTTGTGTAAATCCAATAGTTAGTTGCGTTTTACTATGCATAGTGACGTCAGATTCAGAATGAGAGATTAGTGTTTTAAGGAGAAACGTGCTGTTATTAATTCTATCAATACAAACTAGGTACGAAATGAAAACCTATTTATTTAAAAACCAGTACCTTTTCCCTACGGACTAAGTAGTGAATATATTTTATTTTTTTTAATGACGACATGTCTTGCATTATTCCAAAACAAGCCTAAATAAAATATGAGTAACTGAAATACAAACAGGAGATAGAATCACAACAAATCATACAAATAACAAACCTCCTCTGAAAAAAGGATACCTTTTTGAATGGGAAATGGCTAAATTAATAACAGCTTCTTCCAGTGAAGAATTCAAGATTTCAGTTTTTGTGACATCGAGGTCAAATACCTACTTTGCCGAGGAATCACCACTGCCTTTGACTGCTGCCTTATTGGAAATTTTATTTCATATTTCAGGTCCCTTTATCTTCTGTGATCCTACGTGCACTCCCTAGTCTGAAAGTTCACCAGGCAGACTCATTCTTTTCTTACTAATACACCCTTTGTGTCTGCTGGGTTTATAGATTTCACGCCTATTTGTGCAAGGTTAAGATGGGTTGCTTCAGATTTTATGGAGACAGCCAAGTGAAGTTACACACAAGTGGCCAGATGGGCTTAAACGTATAAAGTATACTGTGACCAATGAATTAAATCTGTCACTCGCTATCTCATCTTTTGTCTCTCTGCAGCTGAGGCCATATTAAGATATGAAAACTTGCACCATCAGTCTCTTCTAAAAATGAGTAAGCCTACTATTTCTGTATTTTTAAACAGCTACTCTACCTTGTGCATCTTAAAGGAATAGGATAAAAGATTTCCAGAGAACCTATGGTCCTGAATAAATTTAGAAGACTAATAAATACTTTTTCTCTAATCCTTTAATTATATATTTTCAAAACAATAAATCCAGGGGAAAAAGAAAATCATCAATTCAAAAGCCAAATAAGTATGCTTTTTAAACACATCAGCAATTCAGGCATACAGAAGGACAGTACTTTTATATGTACAAACATTTTGCATTGCTCAGTCAATACCTGTCTGAAGATTACAAAATATTGAATCATAGAATCGTCTGGTTGGAAGAGACCTTCAAGATCATCGAGTCCCACCATTCAAGAAGAATCTCTTTGAACCTTTATTGGTCTAATTTTTAATTAAGATTCATTTCACAGTATTATTTTGCTAGCCACTGCAAGTGTAAGAACCGCATAAGAATATATTTGCTTTTAAGAAACTAGGCTTATGGCATGTTGTACATGGGAAGATTGTTAGAGTCATTACCTCTCAATTAAGTGGTATGTATTTACACACACGGCGAAGAGAAAAAACATGTATGTGTTCATGCATGGTCATATAAACTGCATCATCGAAAAAAAGATGCAAGGACTTTCAAGAAGCCACATTTGACTTATGTCCTGCTTCTCTCACAATTCAAAACCAGAAAGTAAGCTAAATGTAAAGCAAAGGGAATGAAATCTAGTGAACCTCTCATCACTAAAGATTTCCAGGAACAATATCTTGGAAGCCTTTCTCTGAGAAGGGCATCTTCCCGCTCCATGATAGTCCTGTGAGATCCTGAATGATCAGTCAGGAAAAAAACACTTGAACTAAAAAAAAATACTTTTTTTTTCATCCCAGGAAATTTCTGGAAGCTTTGACTGAGATATAAATGGTTCATAATCAACATTCCTGTTCCCGCTTGCACTCCTTGGGGAGACGTGCCAAAATAATAAGTGAACATAAACATTCTACAGCAAAGCACATCTTACTGCCAGAGCAGCAGCCTCAGCACTTAACGTAGCTGAAAATGCCTCAGAGCTGTTGGAGCAGGCTGATCACACAAGTCCCTGAATCCAGCATATCATCACAGTGACTCATCCTTTCTTCTACCCCAAGGTAAGAGCCTTCTTTTGAATCACAGATAGTGTTACTATGGCTATTGCTCACAGGCTACCCAATCTGACTGTCTTGAAACTCCAAGTTTCAAACTTCGACAAAAACTTGTTAGAATTTATATTGAGAACTGTGACCTCTATTTCTCTAATGCTAAATATTCGTATAAACAATAATAATGTTTAAGTTGTTAAATGTTAAAAGATCAATATATAATTAAGATTGGAATGCCAAAAATTCAGAAAAGAGGAAATTCCAGGTTCACAGGTGTGCAAGTCACCTTAACTTTGCCCTGTACATGTACAACCCATGCAATGGTACTTTCCTCATGTCTGTCTCATTTAACACGCAAAACATACAAACAATAAGTAAGAAGATCGACATTTTGTTGACATTGCCAATTCTGGCAATTCAAAACTTGCAAAACACCTGGAATCTGCAATACAATGTCTTGAGTGTTTCCTCAAATATATGTGCATGATGCAATATGAAAATTATTTGGTAAAATATTACCAGGTTAAGAATATGCTGTTTTGTCTCCTTTCCAGTTATACGTGTTTCCAAAACTGGAAAAAAAAAACAGTTTTGCACTTCAATTTTATAATATTCAGTTTGAGGAGACACTACTGAACTGGTTTGGAAGGGCTTGATGTGAGTGAAAAAAAAAAAGGATTACTTTCTTTGAGTCATTTGTAGGCCACAAGACAAAAACATCAACAAAAAAACCTTACAGCTATCACAGTAGAAGTACTTGAAGAGCTGAGAGAATAAAATCCCTGAAGGCATTGCTAGCTAGTTCACAAATCACATCTCCTAAACGAAGCAATTAGAATAATAAAGATTCAATGAGACTTTCCTGTGTTTTGTACACTTGAGACATCCACTGGCTGAATAACACACTCAACATTCATAATTGTGCAGACATCTCTTAATAAATTACCGCATACCATATATTCATACAAATCATGTGTTTAAACTACGGGCTTCTCAGAGCTGGTACCCTGAACCAAACACGTTGCAATATGCTCCAATTTCATTCCTTATTTGCCAACACGCATAGGTAATACTCCTGATCTACAATAGGTAGTATCCCATCACTGTACAAAAGTTAGGCTAGAGATAAGCAACAAATAATTTGTTGTGATAATTGTCACCTTTCTATATGGAGCAATTTGTAACCAACGTCCTGAAGTTACACATCATGAGAAGAAAAAAAGTTCTATCAAAATTCTACGATTTTTTTCTCCACAGCACAGTATTATAAGCACAAAACACTGAGCTGTGACTAGCTCTCACAAAACATGAATTTTTTTCCTTAACACCTTAATTCTTGCAGTCTTTCTTTATGTAAAATATTAACTTTTCTTTTAAAACAAACAAGTAGTTTTCCAGCCCTTAAAACTTCACAGAAAGCTTTAAAGTTCATTCAAAAGCCAAGAGGAAAATTTCGAAGCCCCGAGGGGAGTATTTTAAGAAGACACATGATTTTTCAGTTGATCTCATGATTTTAAACACTGAAAGGTGATTTTTGAACAACATGCAAGTATATTGTTGGCTCGTCCCTGGTGGCATGGGAAGTCTGGGGTACCGCAGCTCAGTGAGCTCCTTCGTGTCAGCTGAGACATGGAAAATGAAAGAGCTTTGAGCTTCCAATTTGTACCTGTCTTTGTAACAGGTTAAGTGCGCGCGCAAGGTCAGTTATCACAGCTCAGCTGATGCATGGGACTGCGATTGCACGCCTCAGCTCTCAGAGAATCCAATTTCTCCTGTCCTCCCCTCGTGTTCTGGAGGGCGGCCTCCGAAAGGTGAAGCTTCCTCCTGTCACATACCCTGCCAAAACTCTGGCCAGGCGTTTCTCACAGTTGCAAACCTGGGAGCACCCTGCACAGCACGCAGACGCAAATATGAGGTCGCTGTGCAAGAGAGTAGGCTGCACTGGGGGAAAAAATCTCTTATTGGGATGCTCTGGAGCCAGCCACAACCTAGTCTCACATTTTTGTATGAAAACAAATTATAAGGAGACAGACGTCTGATTTTAATGAGAAGTTTCCACAACCTAGTCTCACATTTTTGTATGAAAAACAAATTATAAGGAGATAGACGTTTGATTTTAATGAGAAGTTCTTCAGTAAAAAAGTAAGTGAATATCTAAATCACACAGTAAATCCTGTTTCCACACAAGGATCTCTTAAATAGTCCAAAAAAAAAAAAGTAAAGATTGTACTAATTCAGATATCAGGAAAAGATTGCCTGAAGGAATAGTTGAGATCAGTGACAAAAATGTAGAAACTTGAAGTTGTCAGTGGTAAACACGCAGTTCCTATAGCACATAAGTACAAGGAGTCAGGAGTCAAACCTTCTAAAAGTAGCATCCTTAGTCCTCTTTCCTCCCTCTCCCTGGCCTCTCTTCCCTCTCTCTGTAGCCATGTAATTTATTACTGGTGAAATGTGCCAACTGATGACATCAACAAATTAATTTTCTTTCTTCAGAAGAGCTACCAGAAAACTCCAGTTTCTGCTCCACCCCCACGCTGGGAGCACATCCAAGAACTAAGAATGCGATTCCTTGCGGGGGCTGTAGGAGAACTCTTATCACAGGGTAGAGTCAGGTAAACTCCAGCCGTCCTTCTGCCTTGATGATTTTAGGTTGATCTGTGCTACTAAAGGGTACTCCTCTTAAATTTAAGTACTGATTTTCAGCAGCCTCCTGCAGTTACCAAAACGACTGCAGCACTGCTAGGTATTTCTTTGTGGCGCTTCTACTGGCATGGGATCTTCACAAGACTCCTGTCTCTAGGTCTGTGCCATGTAAGAACCAAATTATGGGATTTTTACTACAGTATATGTAGATTTGGCCATGCCACTTAGAAGCAAGCAGTACAGACTATGAAAGCAAACCCCAATCACAAAGAAATGTATGGGTTCTACCAGACTTGCACATTTGAACACCCTCAGAGGTGTGTGATTGCTTCATGCTTTCTAACATACTGTCAGTAAAGGCCAAGAACTCAGAAGAGGGCAAAAATCTTACCCTGACAGAGTCTCATTTGTTTCTTTTTACACTTACCAAAGCCCCGAAGTGATTAAGTTCCATTATAAAATTCACCTTCATTTAGCATTTGGTTATCATCAGAGAAAAGGAAAAAAAAAAAAGTGGTTATGAAGTCTTTGGTTTTGAACACTTGAGTTTACCCCATTATTTTACACTCATAAGCCTCACAAAGTCAAAATTTTCAAAATCTAAGCCATATAGAACGAACTTGACTTGAACTGGAAAGCTGGCAGTAGGAAGCTGGGAATGGAAGGTGGCTGCAGGAAAGAACAATCAAACAAGTAACTATGAGGTTCTGTACATATTAATGGAATATCATATAAGTTGTGTCTAATTTTGTCCTAAAATCTCCATTAATGTAATTGGGAATCATATGTCTGTAAAGTTAAGTAAGTTAAAGATGACCTTCATTTTAATAGCCAAGGAAATGTACATGTAATTTTCCAGAGAATATATTAGTTGTTCAGTCTCTTTTTCACATGCAGTAATTATAAATTTTTAAATATAAGAGGTGAAATAACAAGGAAGATCTACTAGTGATACAGAGATAGATGGGATATAAAGTTCAAAGCAACATGCTGAGTTTGCTTTCACAATTATATACTGTAATGATAAGGCATTTTGATACAGGCATACTGGTAAAGCAGCATATAGCTATACCTAATGCTACTTTAAATAATCTTGAGCTAACCAACAGCAAAGATGCATCTCTCCCAGATACATCCAGGAGCGATGCTCCTGATCTGCATTTATGACAGAGAGATGTTTAGTGTAAATGAAGTTAAGAGGTCAAGAATATTGTAAATCATCTGTGTACCTCTTTTTCCTGTACTCAGGTTATCGACTAGCTTCCACACGTAGTTGATATTTACTGTACCTAATTCTAGCATGCTCTTGAGTTTTTGCTTCAATGAAGAAAGATAAAATCTGATCTAGACAAATTACATCCCTAAACTAAAGTAAGTCAACACTTATGTGATTCATACTCCCCTACATGTTTTATTACAACAGTCTTAAGTGTGATAATTCACTTTGAAAAAATCAATAAACAAAAAGCATTCTTGAATTGGGAGACTAAAAAAAAACATATGTTGTTATAATTCATCTTTAGAATGCAGTTCTAAGGCAAGTTTAAAGCTCAAAATGCCAAATCCTGCTGTTCCAGAGATCAAGTAACACTATTTCACTTGTCTTGAAAGTGTTTCTGGTGCCATAAAAGACAAAAGCAAACAAACAAAAGTCATTGAAAACTAAACGGTAGGATTACCAGCAGGCTTACCTAATTGGATAAACTGAGGATCACTTTTCACTCCAGGTCCTGCCCCAGTACTTGCTGCCACTTCCACGCTGTATCGAATACCAGGAACTAGGGAGGGGATAACTACAGAGAAGGTGGAACCATCTACCGTCTTGTTTATATGGTATCGACTTTCATTGCCAAGACACCAAACCTGCAGGGAAGTAAGTGTATGGTATGAATACGTGTTCAAAATTCAAAAGCAAAGGATAAGTAGAAGGAAGGATGACACATTCCTTTCTTCTGGATAAAAAAATTCAGAATTTGTCACTACCCTAAAATCTGCAGTCATGGATTGCTTACCTAGGCACTGTATGAATACGGAAAAGATACTTCTTGTTTCAAAGAGCAGCTCCAACTACTAAAATTATTTGATGGGTTTATCGTAATTCATTTACAGTTCAACTGGTGACATCAGTGCTAATAAAACTAAAAGCATTAGTAACACGGGACAAATAAGGGAAGTCTTGTTGCCAAAGATTGTTCACATAAACAACAAAGTAAGAGCATTCAGTTAAATGAATTTGCAATTCTCTTGTTCTGGAATCATTAATCAAGCAAGGCTTTCTTCACTCAAGTGCAAGGGCAAGTCTTTCATCACATCACACCAAGAGAACTAATGTCATGCTGGAATCTAAATGTTCTATATATTTTTTTTTTTTTAATGGCAGCAAGAGGCAAGGATTGAGTAATATGCCATCTATTGAGAGACAACAGCATGATATCAGATCTCATTTTTTGGTTGAGATCAGGACATAGGTCTAACGACTTCAATTCACCATTTTATAAATTACATCAGTGATATTAAACGATTGGGAGAAACAATATGATGAGATATTTTTATCTCTTTAGGCCTGCACCATTGACAGGCAAATGCTTTTAAGAGTATGGCTGAACTCTCAACTGCTATTAAAGGCGAAGTAGCAGCTAATCTAGATCTGCTAAAAAATTGATGAAGCTGTGTTGATTTCCTTTTTATTCCCTTTCTACAAATGTATTGTTCTACAATGAATATTTATCCAGAAGGTTAAATGAGTTAAATTCAGTACTTTATCTCTAAAGGAGTAAACTTTCCTGAGACCAGCAGCATTTCTGAAACTGTACTGATTGTACATAGGAGGGAAGATTTTTGTTTTGACACATGAAGCTCCTAAAAGATTTAGCACCCAGATAGCTGCTATCTGCTCTTGTGCTGCTATGGAGACTGTGAGGTGAGCGAGTCAGAGTTTCACATACAGAACAATTGCTAGGGCCCTTTCTCTAAAGCCATTTCCGCCTGGACACCGGAAATTTTATTTCACCTTCAGGACATTGTAAGACCTTTTTTCCTTCTCTGGCTGTCAAGGATTGAAACAAGGCTAGTGAGACACTGTGAGGATATGAAATGTATTTTAAGCTCCTTTGAAATAGAATCTCAATGCAGCATATACATAACTGCTGCTGCAGAGCAGGTCAGAGCACACGAAGAGAAGAAAATCTCCTTTTTATATTCTGATACTAAGCAGAGACCGTTTCAGTCAGTAGTAGAAACATAATTATCAGCAATATTAGTAATACTGCTCTTAAATCCTAAAAGATAGTTCATGAAAATGCTCTTATGTAAATGAGAACTTGATAAAGTGAGGAAAAAAAGATTTAAATCTACATTTTGACATATCATTTTCACAGAACTTGTTACTGCCACCTTGTACAACAGTGAATGTGCAAACTATAAAAACAATTTATTAAGTACTTATAACTATGCATTACTAATTCATAAAAATGTTTTGTTCTAGGTGCTCAAATATGCTGAGAAATTCACAAAACAAGAATGTTAGGTTAAACATCAGATAGTTCAGTACTTGCCATACTATATTTGTACATAGGCAAGTGAAAACAAACTTTTAGAATGCTATGCAGGGAGGAGGAATTCACATTATAATAGACACATAAGTGAAGAAAGAATTAGTATAATAAGAGAATTTTTAACTTCGTGCTAGGGAAGGAGGGAATGACTTCTGCTGTGATTTGAATTTCTGGCTTTTTGTTTGTGCTACTGACACTTCTTCAATTAACATTGTATTCTCTTTCCTATTTATTTTATCATTTAATTAAAGTAGGTACACTCTTGCCTTAGATCCGAGCTGCTGAGAAAAAGAATTGCCCCATGTATGCGTACGTTTTTTCTGGGAGAAAACACAGGAGATAGAAAAACAAAGAGGAAAGAAAGTAGAGAAAATTTTACAAGACTTCTGTTTTTTTTTTTTCCCCCTTGTTATTAGTTCTTAATCGTAAATTACTGGTTCCGCATTTATTTAGTTTTTAGACAAAAATATTAACTATATATAGCAACTTAAATAGCAATTACATATACATTCATTGTATCTGTTTTCTGTCCATGGAGAAAAGCACAAAGGAAAATAATGGCATCCACACAATAAATGTAGATGTGAAACGTGCCAGTGTGCCATCTACTGCTACACAAGCACTGCAAGATGCTTGTTGCTACACCTGATAGCCTATTACCTCTGAATGCGAGGAGGTATGTTAGGTATTATATCCACTGAGAAATGTGAATTTCCTGGCTTCTATCGTTTTGTTCTCACAACCTTAACATTCCTCTGATGCAGTTTCTTGTTGGAAATAATTCCATCTCTTCAGCTCAAGGTCTGTCTTTAAATAAAATTACTTTGCAACTATTGTTTTTTCCAATTACATTATGTATCTGATGCTAAGCCATAAACTGATTTTTTAACAAGTTGACCAGGTTTTGAAAGGCATTCTATTATTCTAAATTGACAATGAAGCTTAGTAATCTCTTCCCTTTCCCTTTTCTACTGAGGGAAAGAAAATAGCAGAATGAGTTTTGACGGCTAGGGATATATGTCTATAGCACAATGTTTTAACCTGAAAAATAGCCAAGAGATTCTCATCTGAAACATTTTCTCAATAATGCGCATTTACAGGAGACTGAAACCAAAGGTCCTGCCTCTCTGTGGCTATGAAGCTTACCTGACACCCACAACTAGACATTTAAAACGTCTGTAGCTTGCTTAGGAAAAATAAGCCTCATTTACTTTGCCATGTAAACTATCACAAAACAATTTGAACTGAAAATAAATACAGTGTATGTCGCTAAATGAACATAAATAATAAATATTTTATAATGTACTTTCAATTTGTTAAAAATTAAATAGTGTAATGAGAACTGCATTTGTGTGAATGAAAAGAAAAATTTCTATATACTAAATGCATTTACTATTATACAAGCACATTCTTTACTTGAAAGTTTTCCATTTGTTTTAACTACCCAGTTATGCATAATTTACTCAGATGGTAACACTGTTAATTATTATCCCTGAGCTTTTCAACTTATTAAGCCTGTTTATATTTACCACCTCAGCCAATGCCTTTGAGTCACAAAATGGTTCTCATACAGGTATGGTTCCCTCTCTACTTGTGTGTGCATTTCTCAAGTTATAATGAAGGCAAGAAGGTAGTTGTTTTAATTAAGAGTGTTGACCCTTCGCTTTGATTTATGGAGGCTGTTTTAATTGCCTTCTACGATCTAGACACAATTAATAAACATGGAGTTTGAGTCAAAGAAGTGATTTTCTAGCTCATTTGCTCTGAGTAACCAGTAGATGGAGCCAAGCATCCACGAACAACCTCATCTGTCACTCCCTGGCCAACATCCCCTCTGCCAGGTGCCAGTAGTACCTTATATTCTTGAACCATCCCGTTCTGGTTGTCCTCGGGGGGTGGCTGCCAGGTGACCACAATTGCCGTCCCGTTCCCATCGTTCTTAGTTACTGAAACACTCTGAGGTGGAGCACTAGGAGCTGTTTGTTTAGAAAGAAGGTTTGAACGGTTAAGTTCATCACACAGAGAAGTGAGATTTTTTAGGAGGAAGATGGTTTCTGGTCATTCTTTTATGCCCCACCCCTCATTGAGGGCAGTTCTTGCCCACAAGATAAAATGATACAGATGGAAAGTGATGTAAACCTGCAACCAGACTCCTGAGTTCTGCTGTAGTATCGTTGTGCAGGACAGAAGTCACTCGTTGTCAGACTCTCCAAACTCAGACACCTATTACTTGAATGCCACAGTCCCAAGCATGGAATTCCTCATTGGTTTCAAATCATCTCACCCAGGAACAACAGTTTTGAAAAATAAAGTCTATAAATTGATCCAATAGAATGCTAGATCGCAGTTCCTCTACTGTGTAAATAGTAATGCGTAATACAAAACTTAATAAATTCAGGACAGAAAGTTTTAATATTAACACATTTATAAATAATAATTCATGTTGTGCATTTTAAATAGTCTTTCTAAAAACTGCATGCTTAGCTGATGTTTAGGATGAATGCAGTTAAGCACACCTCTTGAACCACTCGTAGCAATTAACCAGAGCTACACAGCATTTATACTGGGGAGGGAAGAGAGAAGGGAAAGATTGCACACCCCAACAGAGGCCCTGAAATCCCTGTTCGGAGGCACTGGCCATCTTGCATACTCATTATGCCTAAGCAGCAACAAAAGGAAGAGCTTCATGAACCTGCTCTTTTTAGCACATGTAAGAGATGGAAACACATAATTTAGTCCACTATATCTGTTGCTCTCATTCATCTTTTCATTTTGTCCTCCTGATTGATCCAGGTATAAAAGCCTTCTAAAAATGTGGTTTCTATTCCCTCAGCTATAGCACTTTGATGATTTCTGTGGTGTCTGCTATCTACTCAAGATAGTGATTAGCAAGTGCTTGAATCTGACAGAAGTCACTTGTGACCAGACCATGCACTCAGCAGGGAGGAGTGCACACTGCAGTGAAGATAAAAAGTGTATTTCCCATTGTGTGTTGGAGGGGATTTTTGCACATCCCTCTCTCTCTGTCTCTCACATGTGGTTCTGAATATTTACTCCTGTGTCACCAAACAATTCGCATAACGATCGGTCCGACCCAGCCTCCTCTGCTGCAGATTGCTGCTCTCAAACAGCACGCACTTCAAACAAAATCAAATAATGAACGTATCAGAAGAAAGCAGGCCAGACTACTGCTTCAAAAAGGAAAGATGAAGACAGTCTGGCTCCTACTTGCCTTCTTCCAGGGTCTTTGCAAATTTCACTTCGCTGTCTGCTCCTTGAAACTCATTAAAAAAAGGGCGGGCTTTGATTTCGTAGTTTACACCTTTCTTCAGCTCGGGAATGATAACACTGTTTTTGGTTGGAGTCCTCACTTCAAAGATTAACCACTCTGACTCTCCATAGGATGCTGGCGTAGGCCGGTACAGAATTTTATATCCTTGAATATACTGGGATTGCTGGTCCACCTGGCAAGACAGCAGAACACACAACGCATCCTTTAACAAATACGAACCAGGAATGACGTCTGCGACACTCCGCATGGCCCCCGGACTATCCGTTCATTTTGCTCAAAGTAAACAACACTGCCAAAGCAGATAAAGGCTCCTTGCGTTACGGCAAATTACAGGGCTGATTCACAAGTGCATTCATCTGTTTGATGCTGGCAGAACCACGCTCATTTCTGTGGATTTATGAAGGCATTAAAGGGGGATAACGGAGTTGTATAATACGCCCCAGCTCCGTGAAATGAACAGCCTTTGCATCCGCAGAGCGATGGAGCTCAGCACAGCCAGGCTTCTGCCACCTGAACGCGGCCAGCAGGGCAGGGGGCAGGTGGGGAGAGGGCGAGGGCAGGGGATCTACAGCTCCACAGCTCCGGGTGATGAACATGGAGATCAAAGAGAGAGCCTGCCAACTCTCCCGAGGTGTGGAAGCCTCCCAAAATCCATGAAATGAGCACTGCTTCCGTCTGGAGAAAGTGAATTGAAAGGGCAGCCAGCTGGCATGACCGTGATGGCTGTGATTAGGCTGGGCTCTGTCCGAGGGCAGATTTCTCCAAGCACTTCCTCCATGTCCACCCACTCAGTGGGAGGCTCTGCTGCTGGAGGGAAAGGGCTGTTTCGAGAGGGCTCTGAAGAGGCTCATCAGACTCAGTATGGTAACACAGATGAGACTTGGAAAAGCAGATCAAATTGGTACTCAGTGGTCCTGAGTGCTTTTTAGACCAAGCTCATTTTATATCATGTGTACAGAGACAGCGATCTTAATGTAAACGGGAGCGGGACTCGAGGTGTTCGGCTATAGCTGAAACAGAAGCCTATCGGATAGAAGTGATCTCTTGTGGAGAATTCACTGTCTTTTAACTACCTGTTTCCATTTCTGATGCATAAGAAAGTCCAAAACCACCAACAACAAAATTCTTAGAAGTGCATCAGATTTTCCCGATTTTCAAAGATCTCATACAGTAATACATTAAAACTGTTTGCTTTCAATTTTACTCCAAAAAGCAACATGTTTCATTTTTAATAATCACATAAAGAATGTGTGTGCTAGCTGAAACTGAGGTAATGCTTATTTTTCAAATTGCAGAGAAGCCACAGGCCACCCAAGAGACTGACAAAAACTGCCTGTCAGGGAAAGGTTGTTTTATAAGTAAAGGTCAAACGAAATCGTGCTAGGAACCTCAAAGATGTTTTAACGTTATTAGTTCAAACAGGAGATTGCCTGCTGCAGGTGGCCGTACTGCAGGTGACAGCGCAACACAGCAGATATCATTTGTACTCTTGCAGCACCAAGGAGCCCTGGTCAGGGACCAGGACTCCTTTGGGCCAGGGCTCTTCTACAAAGTCAAAATGCCTTTTGTTCCTTGTCAAAATGTCCTGCCTTGGCATGGCAGGAGCTACACCCTGTGTTCTCCTACACTAGCCCTGCCAATATATTGAAGTGTTCAGATGGAAGTCCTAAGAAGACCTCAAACCTCACTCCTTTTGAATTTATTCCTGCACCTGGTACAATTACTACCCATTTTTTCTTCATTCTGCATTCTATTCAAAAAGTGCTCTTGTTTGAATCACATTTTGTCTCATTGCTTGGTACTTGCAGTTTGCCTTGTTGTACTTTCTCTCAATCTCTACCTCTTGATTGCCAAATGTCTCCTACAGGAAGCCATTTCTAATCCTTTCTCTCACTGAGGCCTCAGCCTTGTAAGGCTACTTGAAATTTTTTGCACACATGTTCCAATTCCCTTTGCTTCAGGACTCCTACAGTATTGTTTTCTCACTCTCTCATTTCCTCTGCTATATCCTCCACGTGGCCGACTTCCTGCTTCCTCCCATCAGAGCAAGGTCAACACAACATCTGAAAAATGCTTCCCCTTTTCATCTCTTCTTCTTGTACTGTGCGTACTCACAGCTCCGTGGAAAAGGAGAGGTTCAGATGAGGCTATATGGGTTTGGGTGTGTTTTTCAGTATGTATGCAGGACAGGGGTAACACTTTCAAACAGAATTATGCAGTATTTCTCTCCACTGGTGTCTGACAGACAGGGAAGTGCCCATGTTATATCTCATTAGAGGACTGATACACTTCCTACTGAAAGCAGTGCAAAAGCTTCAAATGATGACTTAAGAAGGCTTTGATCAGTCCTTTAGCTTCCAGAGGAGGACTCTTGAAACTCTCACCATATTGTAAACAACACTCTCTATGGAAATATAAAATGGTGAAAACGGGACAAAATTTTATGAAGTCAGAAAGCAAAGCCCAAGTAGCTCTCATTCCAGAGGAAAAACGTTTGCAAGCATGCAAAGTACTGGGCTTCTTAAAGTGTGACTCCACTGCAGCCAAACAGCACAATATGTAGTATATATAACCGTCTCCACGATACAGATTTATACTTACAGTCCAATGAACTTCAATTGAGGAAGAAGAAAGGATAGTAGGGTTGTGCAGATGTAGTACCACATCACCTAGTTCTCTCTGGACCTGCTTGTGATCCACACCTTGACTTGTTGGTGGAACATCTGTAATAATTTAAGATTCCATTCTCACAAGTATATATGATTGTTAAAATAAGTATATGTAAATACAAATGAGTATATCATAAAGTATATAATGCTATCACCAATAAAGTTTACCCTAAGTACTTCCCAATTATGTAAGAAAAAATGACATGAAGTGTTTTCCCGAGCAAATCACCAATGCTTGGGTAGTGTCAAATCAATGCACTGCACTTTCTTTGACAGATATGAAACAGGAAGGAAATGCTGCGTAAAAAAAAGAAAAATCACACTCAGGGATGTCTTTGGTAAATGACTACGGCAGCATGTCTTTATTCTTTCCTGCTGGGAGTGGAAAACGTTCTACTATCCATTGCAAATCCCAAGAGACCAGGAAATCTATAAAGAACAGCAATAGCAGAAACTGTATCTTCAGATAAATTCATAGGCAAAATTAATGGTTTTAACTACAAAAATAAAGGTAACAACTGAAGAAAAGAAAAACAAGTCATGTAGCTGCAGCTTCTCTGATGGCAAGTGACTTCTGTAAACAGGAGGCAGAGCACAGCTGAGTGCTGTCTGGCTCTTCTGACATGTGGTCTATTTTATAGCTAAAAGAATTGTCTATACATATGAAAGGACAAATTTCTCTCAAAATACACAATGGTACAATGGAAATACATATTTTCTGCATGCAGAGCCCTTGAAAAGCATATTTAATTGAAATGGAATGATTGTCAGACGTGTATAAAATTTATAGGGCAATCAGTAATGGAAAGTCTAAAATATACATGTACTATGGACAGCAGAGTAACACGGATTCTGTATTCATCTCATGCATCTCTCTGATCGTTTCATTTAAACAAATACCATGCTGACTATGGCTAAAAATCACAGACTAGGAAATTCATGTAAAGTACTTATAGTGATTTCTTTCTTTCTTTCTTTTTTATTTTTATTAATCTACTTCCAGATACAAAGTAATACATTATATAAACTTTGCTCCAGCCTAGTACTCCCCTGCCTGACCTCCCCTAGTGATAAAGCAAAATCAGGAAATCTTCAAGAGTTTTGCTCACTGAAAACCTTGGCAATTTCCATGCCTGTCTGCTTACAAGAAGTGTCAAAGAGACAACACAGAAATTGTGCATGTATTTATATACAACTACAACTACTGTAATAAGTCACTGCAGATATGTAAGCTATCTTGAAAGCTGAGCTTTGGATAGTGCAGTTGATGATCACACAGATGACAATTATTACATACAAGTGCAACAATAATAAAGCATGGTTTTTGCATGGTGGTCATATTCTCAGTTTTCCAGCTTTCGGTCTTGTCTAAATAATAATGAAAATATTGTAAGAATGCATTAGAATAAGGCACGAGGACAAATTTCTTTCCAGAAATATAGTTCCCATTAGTGAATACAAAGCCTATGTCATTCTGAACTTTTATCATAGAGTTTCCTCCACGTATTTAAAAGAAGATGAGATTTCTTCAAAGTTAAAGAAGCAATCTGAGACTAGCGTCTAGTCACTGGGTTACATATCTGTATTCTTAGCAAGGAACACTGATAACAACAAAAAACCAAAACCCGGAACCCCACCACTGAGTCACTGCTGTATCCACACATAGTATGTTCCACCAAACAGTTCATTTATGAGAGTATTTCCCTCCCCACAAAGTCTGAAAGTATTAATTAAAGAGAGAAGCTTCTGTTTGGAGAGTTGCCAAAACATCACCCTGCTTAGAATGTAACAGGAAAGTCAGTGGAATAATTAGTTCTATCTTTGCTAGTCATAAAATATGAGTCATCAAAAACATGAATGAAACTATTAATAGGCTCAGTCATTTGCACATCTGGGCTACACAACAATACGTGTATTTTCTTGTTTTAGCTCCGAGCTTCCAAGACAAGGCCTGGCAGTGAGAACACCTAAGCATGTTGTTGTCAGTGTTGGTGAAGAGTAAAGATGAAGGCAGGTTAGGTTCCTGGTTTGGACAGGCATTTAGGACAAGACTATACCACTGTCTAGACAAAACTGAATTGGGAAATTTTTGAACTTACTTAACCAGACCACAACTTATACAAAACTGAAATGGTATTGGAAGAAGAGTAGAACTGCTTTAGAGAACTTGACACTTGATTACATTTCTTACTATTGATGAAAATTTTATATATTGGTTGTTATTTTCACTCAGGCTTTGTGTGGTTGTCAGGTCTTCAGCTCTGCTAGATGCCCAGAGGACAGCAAAGCTTTTCCATGCCATTATAAACCATTCAGTTCTGTAAATGAACAGAATACTCTGCCTCGTTCACTCTTTATCGGATTCAGGACAGTGATAGTTCGTTTGGGACAATCATTGAATCATAGAATGGTTTGGGTAGGAAGGGACCTCAAAGATCATCTAGTTTCAAACCCCTGGCCACGGGCAGGGACACCTTGCCCTGGATAAAGTTGCTCAAAGCCTCATCCAACCTGGCCTTGAACACTTGCAGGGATGGGGCATCCACAGCTTCCCTGGACAACCTGTTCCAATGCTTCAACACCCTCATTGCAAATCGAAATCTACCTTCTGGCATTACCCCTTGTCCTATCACTACACGCTCTTGTAAAAAGTCCCTCTCCAGCTTTCCTGTAGGCCCCCTTTAGGTACTGGAAGGCTGCAATAAGATCACCCCAGAGCCTTCTCTTCTCCAGGCTGAACAGCCCCAACTCTCTCAGCCTGTCTTCATAAGAGACCTGATACCTCATCCCATCTCCCAGAATGAAACCACACTGCATGAAAAATGGACTCATGCAGAACACTGCAGGCTGCCTGCGTAATAACATGTGTTGTCCTATTCCCAGGAACACAAAAATCACTAAATTAGGTTACTAAATCTCTCCTTGGTAACAGACCTAGGAACCTGTGCAATCCCTATTTTCCATATGGCTGTGGCTCTGTTGTCAATATACCCATTCAAATTGTGACCCATCAGGAGAAATGCATAATAACAAAGGACAGCAATGTGAAACTGTTCTCTTCCCATGGGAGATGAGAAAGACTTGCTTTCAGATCAACTTCAGAACAAATTAAAAGTCAGGAAACAAAAATGCTTTGTTTCCTTTAAGGAACGTCCTTTCAAAAACAAATATGCACTTACTTATGCAAGCAAAGAAACAAACATACAACACAGGCACTCTTAATAAGCCAATGGGTCGACTTCTCCAGTAAGTAGGAAAAGCAAAAAAAAAAAAAAAAAAAAAAAAAGATGATCTCCATCACTTCTACTTTGGAAAAGAGTATGTCCAGTATTTCCTTCTTAAGAATTATAGTATTTTCAATGGAAAAAAGCCCACTGCAAAGTTGCAGTGCATTATTCCCTGTACAACATCATAAGTGTCATTTATTTTCTACAGTGAACACAAAGCTATTTTAAATTTTACATAGCTGGATTCAGTCCATAGCTGGACTTGAGTCATAGCTGGAGTCAGCAAATGACTCCTTCATCCACTACTACCTGGACTTTTTTTCCACTTGGCTCTCTGTAGGCATTGTCTCTCTTCCCTACTATTTTACTTTCAATAGTAGTACTATTGCAATACATTTAATATATTGCCAAAAACTCTTCTTTACTGGCTCATGATGCTTGATTCCTTCAAATTTTAAATTTCTTTCCTAATGCAGCAGAAACCAAATTAGATTATGTGCTGTTTCTCTCTCTGTCTCAATCTTAAGCCTCATTTGAGTCACTGAATACAATAATATCATTTCCAAGGAATTTGAGGATTTGCATGATAACTTGAAAAATCAGAGATTACTTCTGTTGCTAAGAAGAGCTATTCTGCAAGATGTAACTGTCTTTGGAGAAGTGATACTAGGGTTCCCTTAGGCAGTGCAATATGCTGTCTAAGCAGCTTTTAGAATCTATGTTACAAGGAAATGCAAATTTAAACATTGTATTTTACTATCGAGCATAAATTATAGCCAGGATAGATGGACAGATGAAAGCTAGCAGAATTCCTGCATCTGGTATTGCTCAGTCAATTTGTGACAGCCACTGTGGACGCCTAAAATGTTCAGTTTCAAAAGCTTACCTTGAGTTTTCACTGGATCAGATATTTGGCTTGGGTCACTTAGTCCATATGCATTAGCTGCCCTCACAAGGAACAGATAAATTGCATTAGGTTTTAGCCCTTTAACTGCAAAACTCTCTGTTTTCACATTTTCAGCTACAGTTTGCCAGCTGCTACCAGATGCATGGCTAAGGATAAAACACACACAACAGCAGGTTAGCACGTGCTTCTTTAACAACATATTATACATAAGTGTGAGTACAGCAAGATCACATGAGACTCATATACCTGAAGGCCTCAATTATGTAAGAGGTTGGTGTTGCACCTGAATTCAAATTAGGTTGCCATGACAACGTGACTGTATTTCTGCTGACATCTGTTACTTCAGGTTTTGATGGAGCACTAGGAATCAAATTTGGGTCAGTGGGTCTTGGTGGCTGCACTGGGACTCCAAACTCTAACAAAGGAGAGAGAAATGCTGAGTATAGACAGGAAGCAGCTGTAAGCTAAGTGCTGTTCACATCTGCACTGGCAACTTACGACAGAGTCAGATAACTTCGGCATGTCAATTTCTGATTTTCCTTTACGTATTTTCTCCACGCACAGAAAACCTAATTGATTTACCTTGGACCTCTATGTATGCACTCCATGTAGCTTCGCCACTTGGGGTTGAAGCAATGCAGGTGTACCGACCAGTGTCGCCCAGCTGAGTGGAAAAGAGAAGAATAAATATTTGAAACAATCAGGCACTCAGTGGGCTAGAAAAGTAATTACAGCTCTCTATGTTCCCCCATGAATATGGATAAACGTATAAGCCTGCAAATACTTTGAACCAGAAACTTCTTCCATTAGAACGTATGATTCTGTGCACGGCAAAATGAAAATGGATACTTATTTCTGAGCATTCATTAAAGAACTGAAAAAGCCGTAGATTCTAATTTAATGTTACCTGTTCTGTAACGAACAAACTGAAGGCCAATTCTTGTAGCATTTATTCCTTACTCTGTAGAGGTCCCAAAAAATAAATCGAGAGGGAACTTAGGTGACAAGACTTGATGCAATTGTCCACCTTCTGCCTAAATCATGCCTGAGGATTTGGCTGGACTGCAGCACTGGAGAGCATGTCATCCTTAAAACAAAGCCTAAAAATTGCACAGACCTCGTACATAAAGAGTTTCCTATGTTAGTATAAATTTCACTCTAGAGCAGACCCAAAAAGGAATCTCCATATGCTGTTCTCATCCAGTTCTGAGTGTTGGATTATTTGTCCATATGGGACTTTATCACATTTCAAAAGAGTTTCTGTTTTTTTTCCTCACAAAAAGAAATGCTATCCTCCTAAGGTCCCAGCCTCAGCAGATGAGCTGAATGGCAGTGCTCAAAAATCAGAGGTTCAAACTCTAAGCCAGTGTAACTCGTAATTGGTAACAGGGCAACTCTAGGGAACATAGTAAAGTGATGTATTCAGCCTAATGATAAAAAATTACTACATTTCAAAACACAGAAGAGACAGCAGAGAATAGCCAGTACACTAAAACTTAACAACATTTTAAAACACTTTTCAGCGTGCGAGCCATGACCAGCAATACTGACCAGGTCCTTGCTATAATTCCCTAAGGAAGCCAGGTATTTGACAGGTGCTTAACCATTTTAAGCTATGTTTACACTGTTGAGTGAATATGTTTAAACTTTAAAAACAGTTCTGAAAAAGCTGTGTACATGGCTCTATACTGCAGTATGCTAAACAAAGGTTTTCTTTATAAACATTTGAAATAATTAGATCATTTTAATCTATTACTGCTAAAGCCCAAATAATTTAAGGATTCATCTTACTGAAATACAAGTTTTGCTTTCCCCTTCATGTTTTAAGTACTAAATAATTCCCTTAATTAATACCTCTTAAAAGCATTTTTCCTTATGAAATCTGAAATAATGTGCCCCGGGCAGAATAAGCCAAGGTGTTAAGCATAAAGAATGAATTATCTGAAAGCATGAAGCATCAAATACTTTAATACAATTATTTAACATTTCATTAATTCTAAATGTAGGATCAAATGTGCCCGGAGGTAAAAAAATGAAATGAAACAAACAACAAAAACCCATTTGCCAGTTCAAGCTACCTTGGCATATCGGATCTGTAATGCTCCTGTCTCCAACTGCTTGATGCGAGAGTCCTGGGTAGAAATGAGGATCCCATCCTTCTTCCAGAGGATAGTGGGCATTAAAGAGCCTGTGGCCACGCAGTTCAGTACTAAAGTACCATCTACAGCTACAGTCTGATTCACAGGACCCTGTCGAATGACAGGGGGAGGCCGGTCTGCAATCACTGCCAGAAGAAACAAGAGGAAAGAGATTTCTGCAACTGGAAGCAATTTTCTAATCATCTAAGCAACAGCAGTTGCTTGAGGCTTTGAAACAAACTAAAGATAATTAAACAAGTAATTAAAGTTGGAAGCATGCATTATTCAGGGCAGGGTGCATTATAATTATGCACAACTAGAGAATTTTAAAATGATACATAACACACTATCTCCAGAAAGTAAAGCACCATGACATATTTCATAGTGGTATCCGCTAGGCATCCTATAATTCCAGTGTCTTTATAAAATGATAATGGAATGAGAAAGGACTTCCCAAATTCTACGTCAAGACACAGATTTCACCTTGTTCATCTTTTATCAAGTAGCAGGCCTATTTAACAGAATTGATACTTTCAGCATTCAAAGACAGAGGAAAAGAAGGCAGGCAGGAGGGGAATAACCCGGCAAATACGTACTACTAAAAAAATGTTATTGTGTACCATCAGCTCATCTTGGTTCTGTTTCCTAACAGGGAGATGCCTAGCAGTAGGGTAAAGTAAGCACAAAGCTAATGAATAGGACCATATTACAAATTTTCAACTAAGAAATATTTTTCCAGTAGCTTCTGACTTTTAGTTCTGTGATGACTTAATCTGTCAATACGACTTCAAAAGTCACAAAGAGAATCCCACAGTGTGTTTGCATCAATTTTAATGTATCTTTCACAGAATGAAAATTAAATATTATTGATGGGTTATTTTATAACTGCAGGTATAAAAGTATAAAGCAGTCTCAGTATTCACAGAAAGAAGAATGATTGTCTATGTTTGGTGGTTTTTTTTCCCATTACTCAATCGATAATGAAAAAAAGAGCTAAAAGCTATCTTACTGTGTTTCAGTGACCTTCTCTACCTGTACCATCAAACATGACATGGACTGATCATCTGAAAACAGTCACAACTTTAAATAACATAAATCTGTTCAATAGTGTCATGAGGGCATAAGTAACTTTAAACCTGGTTTGGCAGCTGAAAGATAAACTCGAAGTTCTGAGGATATGTGAACATCAGATTTTTCTAAATTACTTTTTGTAACAACAGGCAGGGTGTTAGTACTCCTTGTTTTGGCTAAATTCCAACTACCGTAATTTCATTTGCATGTTCAAATGACACTCTGTGTTTTCCACTGCATAATTTATCCTTTACTTCTTGTCCCAACCTGTAGCAATGCACAGCAATGCACTGTGAGGCCATTAGTATCTTTCTTTTCAGACAGTCAAAATAAGTTAACTCACACTTTGTATTTGACTTTGACAAGTTTGTAAAGAGCTTTGCAGTTGTCAATGGTAAGAGGTTGATCGATCTGTGCTCTACAGGAGAAATCTAATGCCACTGAAAAACACGGCAAATTTAAGTGCCACTGAAGTTGATGGAAACTTCTATTACCTTTAGAAATACAAAGATATCATTCTGCATATCATGCCTTCGCTTTTATAAAAGTACCAAAAAAAAATTATTTTCCTAAGACATTATACAAAACAACTATCCATGAGATCAATGCAAAGCTTATATTCATAATAAAGGAAATACATTTCAATGTATTAGATTTTTTCCAAGTTCAGATGACATAGGTCATTAAGAGAAAAACTCTTCAGGCTAAGGTCCTTAATTTTCTTTTTAAAATTTATCTCTCATCTTGCCATAGCATTCTCCCAATGGTAAACGAATAAAAGCGGATTAAGAAATGTGGTTTACCACTTGTGAGAAACCAGAGAGGTTACAGTGCTATTCCTCCAAGCACTCTCAGTTCAGTAGGTGTAAATAAACAATTTTATTCTCCAGGTTCACTGCCTGTTTCTAGCACTGCATTATTGCTAAGTTTTCTACAGGGCAAAGGCCTTGTTTATGGAAACTCTTCTCTGACAACTGCTTCCCTCTCCTCAAAGTCTCTCCACAGATTGCACTTACCCTCTTTCCGCCTAAGTGCTAAAATTATTACTTTTCCTGGGTTTCTTTGCTATTAAAAAGATGAAGTATTTCTGGTAATTGGCAAGTTGGCCTCATACCAGCATATATTACTGCTTGCAGTCATGCTCCCTGGAGCTTTTTTATCTCAAATTTTGTCCGAACTGCTCCTTGAAAGGTATGTATGATAATATTCATTTGTATCTCATTCTATTGACTTCCATACAGATTGAGGTTTTTTCCCTTGCTATACAGCAATATCAAAAAAAAAAAAAAAACACCAGAGAAAAAACAGGTAAATGGAGATGCTAAGCAAACAGACACACAATAATAGGGATAAAGAGCTAGACAGCAAGCAATCTGAAAGTAAGCTAATTCTAGTGGAGGAAGCTAAAAAAGAGCCAGTTAAATTAACAGCTCGAACAAAAATCCATGAATTGAAATATAGTTACTAAATACAAAATTGAAATATTGCATTACACAATATCCAAGACCTTAAACCCATGACAGAGATGGCCAAAACAGGATTTTTATGTTCAGTCACATGCAATCTGCAAATTCATGCAAAGCAGGTACCAAAGTAGTGTCATATCATCCCACTGCTGCCTTCAAATAAAAAAAAAACAACTTAGGATTGATAAAGTAAATGTATCATTACCATCAGTAACTTCCAAGTAGGCTTTTGTTATGATACTTCCTGCAACGTTTAAAGTCTGACAGATATAGTATCCAACATCAGATCTCTGGACATTGGTGATAGTGAGGTCACCTGTCTGGGAAACTGAAAATCGGCTGGATGACTGAGGGGGCTGGTATGAAAAAAGTAGATTCTACAAGATGTATAGGAAAGAAAATGGGAAAAGAAGGGTTAAATAAATTCAAACATCAACAATCTTAACTTTAACATATATATATATATAAACAAATTCATCTTTTCACATCATACATAAAACATTCTGCTCTTCATACCTTAAGCATGTCTATACCACAAAGTTAATAGCTTTTGTAGGATTTTTTGCAATAAAACGGGAGCAGACATGCACATATAATTGTGTAAATCTTTTGGGATTGCTCTAACACTCACTATAGTCAATATTTAAGAGGCACTAGTGACGATGGGATATTTACAGACACTGTAATGGTGCAAGCAACTGTGGTGAACCTAAGTAATTTGCTTTAAGACCCTTTTTCAGAACTTACGCCAGGGCACTCTATTTATTTCATTTAAATGCAGATGTTGGTTTACTTATTTGTATCTTAACTTTGGCATTCCTAAGAATGGAGTCGTTTTTAAAAATAGATGCTTTTTATGTCTCCCTAATTATAGTGTTTGTGTTCTATAACGAGCCTTATAATATAGAATTAAATCCTATGTCAGTTTCTACTTAGATAGTTTTAGTATGAAGTACATAGTTTTAACCAACACTGGTCAAAAATCAGAACTGCAATCGAAATAATACAAGTCCTTTACACTAAATACTGATTTCGAATTTCTACCTCTGGCTGAACAATTTGTGAATGAGAATACTTTAAGGTTGCAGAGGCTGTTTTTTATCTCTCTTTTTTACTTAACTACATTTTGCATTTCCAAAAAATCATCCAAAGGAACAGGACACAACATCCTCTACTTCAGTATTGGCAAACTCTATTCATTGACATCCTCCTCCAGTTCCCTCAATCATCACAAGTGGTCACCACTCAGTAAAGTCAAAAATGAATAAGAAAAATAATGTACTAGACAACAGTTGGCCAAAAAAAAACCCACCCATGTCATACAAAAATATAAACATAATATACTGGTGTACCATTGAAGATTATAATCTAAATTTGGTTAGCAGTCTAGTTGTACATAGATATTTAGACAGAAATGTTGCAAATGGAGTAAAGAAGTCAATCTCTATGCATTCTCAATTTCTCTGCCCTATTGTTTTGTAACACAAAGAACCCTGTCATGTTTTTGTACCATTCATTCCTTCATTCACAGGAAAACCAGAAGCCCATATTCCTTCTTTCCTTCTTTCCTTCCAATAAAGAATACTTTGTGTCACATCCCTCCTTCAAAAGATGACTCTGAAAGAAAACTGTGATTCCTTTGCTGAGCTATATTGTGTTTCACCACTGGCTTTCAAGATCTTTACAAAGAAGCTGAAAATATTTTTCCCTCTCATTCGAAAAAGGAAGCTGGGAGATAAAGTGACCTATTCAGGTATGACCTGTCAGCAAACTGAGTGAAAAGTGGATATCCTTAGTCCCAAACTAGTGTCCTACTCATGCAGTAATGGAGACCAACACAGCAAATGGTTTCATTTGCCACACTCACACAAACGTGAGTTTGGCACTAATAAACTAATAGCTGTCCCATAAACTTTCTGAAAATTTGGGAGTGTTTGGGAGTTCAAACCAACTTCAGCATTAGTCATCTCTTCATATCTTAAAAGTTATCCCTGTGAGGTGAAAAAGATTTTCATAGGAGTGAAACATGGAATGTTTCTAGTTGTTTCATAGATTTATTTTTACATTCATGGAGAAAATAGGAGATTGAGCAAAACATAGATATCCTTTTTAGTAAAGCTGTCATCACATAGCATGCATGTGACTTAGAAGTAGAGAAGAAACATCTGGCATGTCCAAGCTCTAGACCCGTTTTCCTCATCTTTAAAACAATAACTGAAGTATTTTTTCTCTCATGTGACATCATCTTTTCAAGAAACTGCCAGGAAGAAGGGACAGAAAGTTTGTTTTACCTGACTTCCCTCTCTCCGCCAAAAGATGGCTGGCTGAGGGTTTCCAGTTGCTTCACACTGGAAAGTCACCGTTCTCCCAAGTGCAGCTACCTGATCTCGAGGCTTTACAACAAATTGTGGAGGCTCTGAAAGGAAAATACCGAAAAAAAATAAATCACGCTACTATCCGAAGACCAAAGGTAGCCTATTTGAAAGCACAATTTGCCTACTGACTTTAAATGGTGCAAACCAGAATAGTTAAGTTTCTTTAATATGAAGAGGCAGCACACAGATACATCAGTGTCTAACAGCCAGAGCTTCAGCATCATTCAGATCATCTTTTCTGTTGCTGGACCTCCCAGTTAAAAAAATCTGACTGTGGATCACTTGCTTTTATTAGTGGCCACTGATACGAGGAAGTGAGTCCCACCAACTTAATGAGACAACTTGCAGAGTAACAGTCATGGATATGAACAGATTTGTTACAACCTGGTTTTTAGAGGAGACGCACGGCTGCAAGTCAGAACGGAGAAATCTTTGAGGGACAACTGGCCCACAGGCCCCCACTTTGTCAAGGGCTGCAATAAACATTGCTGAATAACTATTTAAATTCATGGCTTATATGCACAAAAGTCATCATCTTTGACTTAGGAAAGCTGAGGAGAGAAAAAATCCTTAATTGCTTATATAAGAGACTTTTGATGTAGTCAGGGTCTCAAAAAAGTTTTAAGTCAAAAGTCCCAGAAATACTATTGAACAAATTATAACCATTTAAAATTTGCAGTCCAGTTACTGAAGAGGAATGAATTTAAAGAACAGCAGAGCTAAATGCTTTCCTCATTTACATAGGCAAGGGCATGTTCAAACAAAACTTATATGCAAATGAAGGCAAATTTGAAACATCTGCTCAGCCTAACATTATAAATACTGCCAGCATTGTCCAAACTGTTCAATTTATGCAGACTTCAAGAACCCCTTCATCCAGTAGTAAATAGAATGTCAAAAAATCATGTCAGTCACAAAAAAAAAAAAAATCAGAATAGATGACAGCATTAGATATCTTGATAGGGTTAGTGTAGAAAAAAAATATATCGTTTTATAGGCGGTTAACTCTCACTTCTAGAAAAATATGCATTAAATGAAAGTCCAGTTCCTTCTGATCATCTGTCCTAATTATTCTTTCCCTCTTCTTTGGGTTGAGAATAAAGGGGATGTTTTGAATCCAACTTTAATAACTCAAATGTTTTTGATGTGTAGTTTTTCGTTTTTTTTTTCTTTCAAACATTTTAGTATTTACAAGATTTTCCTTTAAAAAGAGTGTGAATCATATAATTTAAAGATATTACTGAATGTGTTTTATAAAAAATCAAGTAATTGTGGATTTATCTAGAATGAATTCAATAACACTCAAAGTGCTTTCTAAAAAAATTGCTTTCAGCATTCACATGTGCCACTGCTTTCAGTCATCTGTTCCCTCATGCCTTGTGTTTCTGCTCCCTATTGAGTTCATATCAGAATATACTCTTCCTACAACCCTCCTGCTTTCTGAGGAATTTTTAAAGCACAACATATTATTATTCACGTTTGGATGCAAATTCTACCTTTCCTAGAATTTTCTTAGATAAGAAACTACCCAAAGTGAAGGTGAGGCAGACCTACAGTAATTAGCAGACTTCAAAACATTTAGCTCTGAAACGTTCAACCAATACCTTGCAAGAAGATGTGGGAAGATTTTGACATGACAGCATATTTAATTTAGAAGGGAAGATGAAACTGTTGGGGGTTTGCCATGGGATTGTAAGGTATGATGGGGAAAATGGAGATGAGGGTGAAGCACCTTTGTTATGCTGTTGAATTCTAATAACAAGAATAAATTTAGCATATAGTTGAATTTAGGGCTTGGCTGGTACTGTACTAGTCTGTGACACAATGCCACCCAAAATAGAACTGCTGGTTTCTAAATCCTGTGCCTGTGCACAGGATTTACAAAATTTCAGATTTCATTAAACTTGAGAATAGGTACCACTATAAAGAGATTAAAATAGTTCTGACCAGCAGAGAAATAGCTGAATGCTTGTCATTCCAGTACCTGAAGACGACCGTTCAGGGACCACAGAACACAAAAAACTAGAGGAAATTCAGTCTTTTAGGTAATCATGCCAGAATTTATAAAATGTAAGTAAGTTTGTGTCTCTCTCTAGATATTATTCTAAATATGCATTTTGTATGCATATTATTCTAAATATATATGCATAATATCCATATATGTAGTATTCTAAATCTATTGCTATATTCAGACAAATAATAAAAATCCTATTAGCTTCAATGTCAGAAGAATGAAAACAAGGTTAAGTGAAACTTAATAATAAAGTTCCATTCAATGTTTACTGCCTTTTTTTTAACTTCACTTTGCTTTCACACCTTGGGTCACATACATGTGCTATGTGATTAACATACTGTAAAAGATGCTGAAATAATAATTCACTTTAGGAAAGAACAACTTTTATCCTTGAGATTTTTAAAACAAAAACAATTCTTTATAGAACACTTTGAAGTTCAACTAATGCAGTCACTGAAGAAAGAAGACATTAGGATTTGACTTGTTACATCATGTAAAAACAGAAAGTTAGCAACCCATTACCTTTCTCTTTGCCATTAAGTTACCCATACTTCATGCAGAATTTATTCTGTGCGATGTGTCTTGTCAGTAACAAGTAAAAGATGGGAGCTGACTGGTTGAAGGACATGGAAGGGGATGGATGGGAAGGGGAGGAGAAGTTCCCGTCACAGTGATACGATGATTAGAAGATGGCCAATAAAATTTCAACTTACCAGACACAACTAAAAACAAAAACAAAACAAAAAGAAAACATGGAATAAATAAAATTGAATAGACATGAAACAAAATAAAAAATAAAGCAAAATTAAAAAAAAAAAAAGATCTTTGATAAGGACCTTAGAAAGCACACATATATTCTGAAATATGAAAAATAGGTTAAAAATGTCAAACTCTAATTTTTTTATTTTATTTTTAAACAGAAGTCTCTATCCAATGTTGAAGAGGAAATTTCCTGTAGAGGAAAAAGGGCAACAGAATAAAATAATGGTGAGGCAACCTGGGTTCTACTCCAAGTCTTTCAAATGAACTCTTGTGTAACCTCTAAAATTTCTTTTTTTCATATTACCATTCCTTCTTTGCATCAGGAGCTTTCCATGGTAAAATTAACTTGATAACTCCAGTAAATGGAACAGTGACATTTACACCCTTTCTAAAGCACCCAAACATCTACAAACGGAAAATAATTTTCTGAGGCTGAGAACTATTACACAGGAAGTTTATTAAATAATTAATAATATGCTGAGGTATTTAGCCCACACATCAATCTTTTCAGTATAAGATTGCTGTATCAAGGTCATAATGCTCAGTATTAAACTGCAAATACAAACTAAACACAATAAAAATTAAAAGTTTCTCAAACCTTTTCTTCCCTCCCACCCCAAACCCCAATTTCACTTTATTAAAAAACAGATTTATTGCAAAACATTATATTTCTCAAGAGAAAATTCCTAGTGGAAAAATCATCTATTAAATTATCTTTCAACTACAGTTGAAAATTTTCATAACCTTTGAAATGGCACAGATCCTGGCAGGCAAATTTCGCTTATAGAAGAAAGGTATGTTAAAAAGCATTCCAACCACATATCACTAATTGAAAGAACAGATTGAAAATAAAAATGTAAAAATAATGGATTTCTAAAATATACACAGACACTGTCAAAAAAGTCAATGAAAAAAAAGGTACTTGGTATAAGATAACTACAGTAAAGTCCAGAAATACGGATTTTTTTTAATGCCTGTTGCAAATACCAAGCCCTTCAACACTTTGGTCTTATCGCTTTATGTTGAGAGTAAAACAACTACTGTTCAGTAGGGCACACTTTCATATCGAGTAGGTAAGCACCTGCAATACATCATCCCCTAATAAAACACATGGAGGAAACCAATAATATCCAGTCTGCCAAAATTCATTAAGCATAAGGAATACTGGCTCACTGTTCAAATAAATACAGAAGACTCCAGGTGTATTAAGAAAATGAAGCAAAAAGAGAATCAGATATAATACTGGAATTTGGATCATGTTGAAGCCAAGAAGTTGCAACTGAATGTGCCAAAACCAGATCAAACAGAATTTGGTTTTTATGTTATTAGAGACGGTTTTTAAAGAAATAATACAAAACAGAGGAAGTTGAGATTATCATTTTTCAAAGTTTTGATTTTCAGTTTGAAGGAAGTATTCTGGATGTACGTTAGCCTTCTTTAAGTTTGTGGGTTCAGCATTTCTCAAAGAGAAAATCAGCACAGATCATTCCACTCAGATTGTCTTGGCAAGTCTATGATTTGTAAGAGGGAAGGCCAAGAAATGATACACAAGAATTCCTGAGAGAAATATACTCGTCCCCAAGACTCAGCTCCTACCTGCTTTTGATCGTGTGTAAGTACATTATACAGTAACTGCTCCTTTTTAACTGAAAAGCCCCCTACTAAACTTGCAATTACCGTTTGACCTGCTCTGGAATTAGAAATGCTTCTCCATAAAACACAACTCATACTCTACATGAAATAGCCTGATAAGAGAAGGGAGCAATTCTTGCATAGAGAAAGTAACTATAAATTACCAATTTTCCATTATTTGAGCAGTGCCAAAAAGAGAACAGTTCAGCCTTCTTGGTAGCAATGCAAAGCTGCCTAAGCCCTCTAATGAAAGCTCACCTGAAAATTCTAACAGATAGAAAGTTGTCTTGGTTGCTCAATTACATTTCTTCAAATTAAATTAACTTGTAAGTGCTGAATTTCTACTTTTCTTTTTACCAGATGATTTGGTATCATAGGTCAAAAATAACCCTGTGAAGCAAATGTGGTTTTTTGCCCACCTGTAAAAACAGAGGATATACTGATACATGAAAACAAATTCTTGTAGAAACAGGGCATCATACTGGTGGCAAATTTGCGGCAAGAGCAAAGGGTGAAATTTCATAGAAAAACCTAAATCACTTCTGTCAGAGGTATGTCATGGTTTAAAAGAACAACAATAGCAACAACAACAAAGACCACTTTAGCAGTTTGATTTACATCGTATTGATGTCTAAGGTTACTAAAACTGAGAAATAGTTTTTCCTCTATTATGGCACATTTTATTTGACAGCACTTTCAATTATAAAGTAAATTAATTCCCCCTGCGTTAATCATGGCTTTCCACATGGCAATTAGGAGGAATAACTTGTTTGTAAAGACAGGAAGGTAGCATGTAAAACCACAAATACCAAAGGAATAATATTTTTGCCTTTCGAATAATTTCCTTGACATGCGAGGTTTTTTTCAGGGAAGTCATGTCCAGTCACTGAACAAAAACCAAAAGAGAAGTGGTTTCCAGCCTAGCGACGTGATCTTTTAATGCCTTATTCTTGCCAGCAATCCTATCAGCCTCACTGGGACTATTGGTATTACTAAATGCACTTGCAGGAGTAGGAATTTGCAGTTTTAGAACTTGAACTACAGACTAGTATAGTTGCCAGATGTTAATGGAGCAACTATTTGGTAAACATAGTACTGTAGGGTCATAGGATAATCAGGTTGGAAAGCAACCTCGGGAGGTGTCTAGTCCCACCTCCTGCTCAAGCAGGGTCAGCTACTGGGTGAGACCAGGTGGCACAGGGCTTGATCCAGTCAGGTCTTGAAAACTTCCAAGGACTAAGAATGCACAGCCTCTCCGGGCAACCTGTTCCACTGCTTAACTGTCTACCCAGTGAAGAAATTTCTCCTTATATGCAGCCTCAATCTTTCTTGTTTCAGCTTATATCCATTGTCTTTTGTCCTCCCTCCATGCACCACTGTGACAAGCCCAGCTCCATCTTACCAACAACCTCCCTGTAGGTACTGGAGACGGCTGTTATGTTCCCCTCAAAGCCCCTTCTTCTCCAAGCTGAGCAATCACCATCCTCTCAGCCCCTCAGGCTGAAACGTCAACATACCATATGTAATGCCTGTCTCTCTAAATAACACATTTTGTAATTTTTCTCTCAAAGATGAATCCAAGTGTTGATCTAGTGTTTCTCTATAACGCATTGGTTTCCTTATATTTAGAATTGAATATTAGAGATTTCTAATTAAAAATTTTCTATTTCTTAATATGATATGGGACAAGCTATAAACTTCGAGTACCCTATTCTTGAAAGCTGTGGTAATAAATATCTATCTCAAAAAGAGTACAATTACAGAGATTTTCATTCATTTATACTAATAATGCCCTTTTGAGATCTGAGATTCAAGGTAGTACTTAATTACTAAACAGTATTTAGCTCTGTGTAGTTAATACTCATTAATTATTGTTCTGACTGATTATTTACAAATACCTTCCAGGTGCTCAGAACATATCTTGCTATTCAGCTGACAAAAGCTGAACACTTTTGACTTAAGCTCAAGATGTTTCATTTTTGATTATTTAAATAAAAATCGTCACATCTTCAAGGACTTCTTCATACCCTTACAGTATATAGAGGCTATTATAGAAGATGCAGGAAAGTATAATTCTACAGCAGAGAAATGAAACAAACACAATCTTCAGGCCAATAATTACGTACAACCATCAAGCTCATATATAATCTTTAGCTTCCGTATAAATCCTTGGCCAAATGCTTAACCTAGGAAATAGCAGTCACAATGAAATTTAGATTGCATTCAATTAATTTTGTGACACATTAATCCCAGTTCAAGTGAAAAATACCAGAGGTTGAATATGCCTGCAGAAACAAACTGAAAGGAAGGAGATGGGATCCGAGTAGGAGCCTATGTGCCGGACATGAGAGCACAGCTCAGGAGCGCAGGCATTTCTGATGGATTTGGCCAGATAGAGACTAGACTGTGTGAGAGGAGGAACACCAGAGCTAGCAACAGAGACAGCAGAGAGATAGCTACATTATCTGTCACGGAACATTGCAGTTCTACAGAATGGCTGAAACTCAGCTGGTTTTAAGCTCTGTATTAAATGAGTGAGTGAGAAACCCACTGTTCATAATCTCTGTCTGAAATGAGTGGGTAGAGAAAATTTGTGTACTAGAGTTACATGCAAAGGAAATGTGAGAGTCTGAATACATTTAGCAAACTGGTCAAATTCTGACTGCTCACTTCTTAAAATAATGAAGAAATTCTGAACAATTTTATTTTCCAATTCCTTCCTTAATTAAAACAAATACTTAGCTAAAAAGCTGTCAATCTTTTCGGCTGATAAATATGTTTCATGACTAAGCCTGCTAAACTCTGAAATCTAATTAACTACTATTTACCTTCAAGAATCTGTAAAAGGCCCATTGAATGTCATTCTGCAACATGACTACCAGAAATTTATGTTGATATTTTGCAAAAACTATTATCAAGGGAGATAGTTTAAGACAATGTGCCATGTTTCATTTCCCTTCTAGTGATTTGTAGGCTATTTGTTCTTATCAAAGCAATCTGAAACACCCAATATCCTTGATATGCACATCTCTGCAGTCATTTGTGGAAAGTATCACTTTCTACAGAGAAATAAACAAAGAACAACATCTCTTTTTCTGAAAACATATAAATGCTGCCATTCAACTGTCTCCTGGCTTCAACCTGTGAAAAATACGGGAAAATAATACCGGGTACTATACAAAAGAATTGAGGTATATCGCTTTTCATCCTCATTGGTCTCTCTATTTTCAGCTGTCCCATCTTGAGGTCTAGACGCATATATAAATAATGCGTATTTTCCCAGATTTTCTGATAAAATCACATGTAAGACCAGACTGAGACACCCTTA